CCAGGAAAGACGGAGATAAAGTGAGATAGCCTTTATCTTCGTATACCGCCACTATGCGGCGCTCCATGTTATTCCATCTCCGTCTCCATCTTCGTCCTCAAGACAAACTCAAATATATAATTTAATAAGTGAAAACCTGAATCGATATTTTGTATTATTACTTAACGACTTTCATATTTATTTTAGTCTCCATCGAATCGATTTTCCTGGCATATTCTCTCCCGTGTATATCAACATCCCACTCAACATATAATACATACATCAAAACTTATTTATCATAATTTTATATTATATTTTATAAAAAAAAAAAAAAAATAACGTCACAATAAATCTTTATTAATATCTTCACGAGACAATCTCCTTTCTACAACATTTTTCGTGAAATAAGATCCATAATTATAAAATAATTATTCGACAAATTTAGCGGCGGAATGAATAGAGGAGAGTCACCACTCTCGCGAAATTACCTACGCGAGAGATTTGAAAGAATGATCATCCCATTTCCGAACGGCGCAAATTCCGGGAGAGTCGCGCGGCACGGGAGGCATACCTGATACCCTTTAAACTTTCAGAATCTCGTTAACTCGACACGGTATCCATCTATGCGCCGGGATTCGCGCGGATCCGCTCGCGGCGCGCGCGCGCGCGCGCGTTGGAATTGCGCCCTCGCAGGAAATTCGTAATTCGGTCGTGTGATCACGCGGGCTTGTTTAATTGAAATATACGCCAACAAAATTGCCCGTCTCTCTTCCCGTCCTATGAAGCAGGATTTAATCTCATTGCCGCCACTAGTCTCGTATTATCCGCGTAACGAGCCGTCGAATGAAACAATTTCGTTTCGCCAAGATGGAATCGCTCCGGGCTTGCTCGCACGCCTCCATATTGAATTTCGTTTAGACGGTGAGACGGTGAGGGAACGTTATCGTCTTGTCGTGTTTGTCGTATCACGGGGGGAAGGGGGGAAGGGAGAATAGATATCGATGAATCGATTAACGATTATTCTTGGAGATTGGAGAAGTTAAAATTCGAAAGATTCGAAAAGTGTACAATTTTTAAAAATTTGTATAGATTTGTTGTAACGGATATATATATACGTCATTAACTAACAATTAATTATCTTAATTATCTTTAATTATTTAAACGACGAATAACTTTAATTAATAATATATTTTAGTAAGTAAATCTTCGAGTCTTAGACAATACATTTAACATTTTATTTGTATAATAATAATAATATAATTTTCTTTTTCTTTTTTTATAGTTCCACGAATATTTCTCTTATTTATTTATCATTTCAAAAAAGATTCGAAAAGTGTATATTTTTTTCAAAAATTTGTATAGATTTGTTATAGCAGATATATATTTTTCCTAACAACTATCTTAATTATTTTTAATTATTTAAACGACAAATTACATTGATTAATAATATATTTTAGTATAAGTAAGTAATTTAGTAAATCTTTTATATTTTAGTATAAGTAGTAATTAAGTAAATCTTCTTCGTTTTAAACATTTAACATTTTATTTGTATAATAATAATAATATAATTTTCTTTTCTTATAGTTCTTATAGTTCACGAATATTTCTCTTATTTATTTATCATTTCAAAAAAGATTCGAAAAGTGTATATTTTTTTCAAAAATTTGTATAGATTTGTTGTAGCAGATATATATTTTTCCTAACAACTATCTTAATTATTTTTAATTATTTAAACGACAAATTACTTTGATTAATAATATATTTTAGTATAAGTAAGTAATTTAGTAAATCTTCTATATTTTAGTATAAGTAATAATTAAGTAAATCTTCTTCGTTTTAAACATTTAACATTTTATTTGTATAATAATAATAATAATATAATAATTTTCTTCTCCTATAGTTCCACGAATATTTTTCTCTTATTTATTTATCATTTCAATTTATCATTATAAAAATACGATTAAACTTACATGCTGAAAAAGAAGAAATAATGCAAATTATAAAGAATTATAAATTCTAATCGCGTCAAATGTTCGAATCGACACGCTCGTTCGAGAAAGATTATTCTCATGTTCTTCGCGAACCGGGAGCACAGAAATTTTCAGAATGCAGCAGACCGCGTCGATAGATCGTAACGGTATACGACGCTCGCGCTGTGAATACGCGTGCACCTCGTATCTTTTGTTTTCCAATTCCGAAACGTGGCCATTCTAATGCCCGATTACGAGCGAAGATTGCGTTCGTGCCATTCTTTCGCCCTTTCTTTTTTTTTTTTCAATGGTGACGTTACCACCATTACGACTCTCCAACCTCGCTCGTTGTCGTACTCTGGAACAGCACGGCACGCGGCCAAACGTGTTTCCAGAACGTGTGTCCATGCTTATTTGGAAACCGTTCGCTCGCCTTGAACTCGCGATAACGAGCGTTAACGCGCTCTCGAAAGTTTTACCGTAATTCGTTCTGGTTAACGATTCTTGGGAATGGATCGTCAAGGTCGTTTAACATAAGAAATTTCGCTTAAAGAGGGAACTTAATACGAAATTTAATACGCGATTCGAAGGTCGTTTAACTCGTGGAATTTGATATATTTCTATAATTCTATGTGTATATGTGTGTGTGGTTCTGTGCACGATTATACTTTGAATTTAAAGAAAGAAAAAAAAAAGTTTTTAAGGAAGAAGAAAGAGAATTGAAACGCAAGTGGAATGTCTGATCGATCGGTGATCGATGACTCGAAAGATAAGAAATTCTTGTTATTCGAAACAATTATCGTTTCGACACCATTAACGAGAGTTCGAGCTTTGTTTTACTCATTTGTGGCAGTGGCAAAACGTGGGTAATGGTAACTATTTGCGGAAGGAATTAAGTTACCGAGAAAATTGGATGATAATTTCGTTGTTGCTTGCTAATTGCGTTGGAGAATAATTGGGTGACGAACGATTGCGCTGGAGAACGATTAAATATTGAACGATCGAGTTAGAAACCGACTGAACGGAGTTGATCGTTGATTTAGAGGATGGTTGAATAATAGAATCGCCGAAATGAGAAGATTAAAAATAGTTAATTGACGATGATTAATTAATCGATGATTGGATTAAAAAGTAATTGAATGCTTTAAAATTGAATCGAGAAGCAAGGAAAACGAAGAATATCAACTAATGATATTCCGTAATAGAAAGTAATTGAATAATGCATGCAAACTTGAATTATGAAAACATTTAAATATGGAATAGTCAAGCGTTGTAAGTTCGAGATAAAAAGTAATCGTACGTATATATTGAATAATTTATTATCGAATCGTTATAATATAAAGTAATAGTCAAGTCAAAGTAAAATGAACGGAAAATGAGATAAATATTCAAGAAATAGTCATCTGTATAAATTGTCATCTAATTCTTTTTTTTAAATACATTTTTCTTCTCTTCTAAACAATATTTAGAAGTTAAAGCAGATGGAACGTAATCTCTTAACTCTTTTCTAAAATTTTTTAGACACCATTTGTCGGCGACTCTCGTTGATTAATTAAGTTCCTTAACTGATCGATACACTTTCTGCCCTTCCGTTTCGAAAATACGATCAAAAGTTTAACGAAACCGGAAACGAAAATTCCTTCGGATGATTTACTTTCGGTTAATGGAATCCCGGCAGGTGATGTATTATTCAATTACTTCGAGTAAGTTAATTTATAGGTGTATCCTCTCTTCACACGTTGTTCCGTCGCACAGCAAATATGTCTTCAGTAAATATTTCGTGGCGCGTCTTGGTTTCACCACCCTCGCCTAAATTCATCCCTTCGTTGTCAAAGACGTTCGTTCCATTAACTCTTTCTAATCCATTCTAATCTTTGGTGGCAAGATACGAGAGCGGCAAACTCGCTGATTTTTTGCGTTAATTAAAATACCAATTTAAATAAGTTGGAACAAGTTTCTTCATCAGCCAGATTTTAACCGGATTAATAAAAGTTGCGACGTGAGACGACTGATTAATCGAGTTTGTACTTCTTATCGTGCTCCACTGCGTAAACCTTGTTTCGAGGACACTTTATCAACCTCCGTGAGAAAGTTGTTATATTAACAACGAATCATTGTTGGAGTTACTCGTGGATAATGAAATTAGAATCAGAACTAAAATTTTAAAGTTTAATATTAATTAACGATTGTTTATGGAATTGTGAAATGTGGAAATTTGATTAGTTATTTAAATTAAATAGAAATTGTTTGTTGTAGAAAATAAAAAAAAAGTAATGTAGAAATTGTAATATTTTTATTTTTTAAAGAGAAACAACAAATTTTAATTATCCAATTGCAATAAAAGATAATTCTATCGATTTCTTTCGATTGATGATTAAGAAAATTTGTATTTATATAGATAAATAATATTCTTCCTATTGTTAAGTGATATTACATTTACAATAATTATAAAAATAGTTAAAGAACTTTCTACTAAAATTTCTAAAATTTCTAAAATTTATCTAAGATTTATTACTCACTATTTTCATTTTCTAAAAGAGAATACCAACAATTACGTGATCGAATGTCTTGTTAAAGTTTCTCACGTTACAATGAAGATAAAACAACGAAAGATTATTATAATTATCTAAAAGATATATATTACTCATTAAGAAAAGGAAACTAAAGAATTTTTGTTGAACAAAATATTCCTTCTTCCGAATTCATGTACTCCATTTTCTAAAAGTATTATACTTGTCAAGTGTGTCTTCTATCTTATTACTGTCTTCTGTCTGACTCAATATGTTCTTATTCCACTGCTCGCGGAAAAATATTCAATTTGTCGTATTATTTCCCACTTCAAATCCTTCTTTATTATGTTCAAACACACAAAAATAATTCATAAAATTTATTTATAAAATTATTTATAATTCAACTTCCAATCATTCGTCACATTATTACAACTTTGAGCTAATTGGATGAATCGAATACGTTAACAATACGTTAAAAACGCTATAGATTTTCATCGAATAATTGTAAAAAGTTTCATCATAAAATTATTTTATTCTTCAGGTGAAACGATGCGGTGATACCCGAGGAACCCCGCCTCAACACCCGTACATATCAATTCATATCTGTGCCCGATAAACATCGCCAAACATCAATCGACCAATCAAACGAAGCATATCGAAACGCAATGAAGAGCCAACGATGATCGAATCGCGGCCAAGGCATATCAGGCGTCGATCAAGCGTGATCGGCCAGACTGTTCAACCCACTCTATCCTAACCAGAGACCTGTCCATAAACCTTGCACCACACCGATCGACGACCAATTGAATCAACCTTGGTCCAACCACCTCACCCCCACCACGTCCCCGTATCACCACGTCCAATCAGAAATCAACGGAGAGAAGCAAATAGAAGGAAGGATGTTGCTGAGGTAACGCGGCCTCTCGAGCCGGGGTTAAGAATCGATCGTTAAATCGAACCGTGCTCGAACAACGAAGGGGATACCAGGTGGCGGATCGCATAGTGGATTCGCATAGGGCGAGATCCAGAGTGAAGGATGGGTTTCCCCAGGAGGAGATCCCTGTGGTTGAAGGTGGCCATCCTGGCCACCGCGGTTTGGGCGACCGTGTGCTTCCTCTTGTACACGGAGGATCGTGCCAACGCGGCTGTTCAAGGGTTGGCGCCGTCAGGCGTCGCGGCGCCCCAAATGGCCAACGGTTTCGTGCCCGCAGCCGCGCCTCTCAGAAAAGAGACGCCGCTCAACGTGCAACCGAAGCCAAAGGTGATTCAAGCTGGACCCGAGCAAGGTAATTAATCGTTTGTTTATGCAAAGGGCGGCTTCCTTTTGGGGATTTTGCTTCGAGGCTGGGGGAGAAATTTTGATGGTAGGAGTTTGGGGAGAAATTTCAGGATTTCACTTTGTTCAGATTTGAGGAATAATTTTAATAATTAATCGTGAGAGTAAGCCACAATTTGTAAGATGAAAATTATATAATATAATATAATATAATATAATATAATAGGTTAGGATTTGGGAATCGAAGGAGCAAAAAGGAGTTTTGAAAGTTATATGAAATAACTAGGGACAGGGATATGGAGGTTATGTTATGTTTCTTGGATGTATTAAAGAGATGTGGATTTGGGATTTGTAGCGTTATGAAATTCTATAGTTGAATTATAAGGGTGAAATGAGGGAACATTTTACGCGACAAGATATTTTGTACATATTTTGTATTCCTTGGAAGAATATTATGAAAGAGACTTATGAAATTGTACATCATGTGCAAACGTCGCCATAACCTCCAAAAATAAGCTTTAATCTAACATTTTTGTATATCTACCTCTCCTCCAAACTTCAAAGATATCTTACATTTTTTACAGATAGCCTCCTCATCGTTAAGTTATAGTTAGAATCATAAATCGAGGAGAAAAAGAGCAGAGCATCTTTTCAATTCTCTCTCTTTCTTTCTCTTTCTCTCTCTGCGTCGTTCCACAGGAACAAAGAACGTCCGATGTACAAAAGATTGCAACCGGAATTTCGAAAGAGAGTCGAAGTGGAGGGCGGGATGGTTGATACACGAGGGTAGTTTCACCGCGGCAAAGTTCGCAGCTCTAAAGCAATTTGTCGTGCTCTTTATTGCCGCATCGCGCGCACCGGGGCCCACCTCGCTCGACCGGGATAAAATTATTTCCTAGACGAAGCCAAGATGCCGTGGAAACCTCTCTTAGCCTCCCTACCCTTCTCTCTCTCTCTCTCTTTCTCTCTGCCATCTTACCTATGCCTCGGTGCCAATATGACGCGCGAAAAATAAAAGTCGAATTTGTTCTGGAAGGCTCTTAGAAAAGGAGGATGGATACATTGTGAAAATTCAATTCGTGTCGTCTTCCGTTTTCCGCCGTCGTTTCTGCAATCCATTCCGCCCTCGTTTGTATTTCGTTCGTTTGCCGTGTGTCTTTATTGCTCCCGCGATAAAGAAATTGGATTTGGAATCATTTTGTTAGTGGATCGAGAACGAGTGAAATGAGTAGAAAGGAACTGTAGTTTTTTGGAAGAGAAGAGGGGGGAGAGGAGGAGAAGGAAAATAATTTTGAGTATATATAGATCAGTATCAGTTTGAACGTTTGATAATGTTTGCAGAATGTTTGTGGAATCTTAAAGAAATTTTTTTTTATGAATCTTATGGTAGATAAATGAAAGTTCTTTTTTTTTTTATGTTTAAAGTTAGAAAGCGGAAGTTAAGGATTAAATTTTATGAGACATTTGTTAGAGAGTTCATTAAATAGAAGTGAGAAATTTTCTATAATATTATGCGTGTATTATTAACAAGTTCTCTTAAGACAGAACTAAGTGGAACTTCATTATTGAACGTTATGAATCACTGGGATGTTCATGTAACTCTTTTATGAGTTTAAACTTGGGAGATATATCAGTTGAAGTTGGTGAAGATATATAAGTTTAGCATTTCAAGAGCTTAAGATTTATGGTATTAAAGATTGATGCCCTTTTATCAGTCAAGAGAAGTTATCCTTGACGTTCAATGTGATTTTATACATTTAAAGACTTTAGAGTTATTAAACAACAATAATAATAATAAAATCATTTCTTTTTAATGAAATAATTTTCAAATTTTTAGTGCAAATTATTTAGTATATTATTAATAAGAAACATTGTTTTTTTTTAAAGAAAAGTAGATAAAGGATAAAGTTATTTTTGCTGATTTTTTTTTGTATTTCTTTCTTTCTTTTTTTTTTTTTTTTTTAGGTGCTGGTGTGCTTGTTGCTCCCCGTGAACCAGATGCAAGCGCACCTGGCGAGATGGGAAAGCCAGTAATTCTGCCAACGAATTTGACTGCCGAAACTAAAAAACTTGTCGACGATGGATGGCTAAACAACGCGTTCAATCAGTACGTTAGCGATCTGATTTCTGTTCATAGAACACTGCCCGACCCTCGTGATCCATGGTGAGTCAAAATTTTTTGCATGATTCTTTTCTCAATAATTATTTACATCTTCTTTACGTATACGTTTTTTTTTTAATTTAATACTACGAATTTATCGAATAAAATAACAAAAAAATATGAAAAATTTAAGTATATAAAATTTAAATATGAAGAACTTCATTTTATGAATTTACTATTCCATAATGTCCTTTTAAAAGTGATTTAATTCACGTTTATATCGTTCAGAATTGAGTACATCGTAAAAAAGAAATTATTCTGTAAATTTCATGAACCTATAAATACAACATTTCAACTATAACCATATTCAGTAATGGTATATAAACTTTGCGATGTACTATCAAAACGTAAATATATCTCAGCGATAACATTTTATTTCAATTAATTGTATTGTGTGTTAATAGACTTGGAAAATTTTTAATAATCTTTATTAATTAATTTATTTGTAAGAAAATCAAGTTACAATATTTTTTGAATCTGTTTTTGTATTATTCATATATATGTATGATACATATTGAAATGATAATTAATTACATCTAACATTTATTGGAATAATGAAATAATTCAACTGCAAATTTTAAATTATCGATACAAAAGGATCTTTCTTGAACTTTTCGTATAATATAATATAATATTTCCAATTTATTTTTATGTGATATGCGTCTAGTATATATGCATATACAGAATATTATATTCATGAATATCTGGAAAATCAATTCTGAGAGATCAAAACAAACACAAAAGTTGAAACACAAAAGTTTCGTTTAAGGCTTATTTATTAAATTACAAGCGATTTAAGTTCGCATTTTAAATGAAGCGAGACAAGGATAGAACGAGACAGCTTCATCATTCCGCCGCGGTGTGGCGCGCCTATCACTCTTTGACTCGTTTCATTCAACGCAAGTTTCAATTGCTTATAACTTAACAAATAACAGTCATTTTTGTGTATCAATTTTTGTATTCGTTCTAAAACCGATATTTTAAAGATATCAACTCGTGAATATATCACAATTTTTATAAATATATAAAAATTGTATTATTTCGTTATTTAATTCTAGATCAATTAAACAAAATCATTGATACGATATACGATATAGATACATACAAATTCGCGTTATTTTTCTGCTCGATTCTAATTGGAAGAGACAAAATTATTTTCGAAATCGTCAAAAAGGAAATAATCAGTTAGATAGAATTAATTATTGAATTTTACACGTACGAATCGAGCTTGATACCCTTTTGTTTCTTGCTCTCATCCTCGTTTCTTTAATAATTCAACGAGCCTTAAAATTACCCCCGGTATTCCAAAGGGAGCCTCCACAGAAATTCGTAGACGTCGAAAAACACATAATTTACCACGGACGAATATTGCGAGATTGAACTCGTTCCTTTGTTATTGTTTAATCAAATTATCCTTCTGTACATTTGGTACAAAGATACAGCAAATAGTCGTATTTCATTGTCGTACAAAGTTCTCCCTCATCCACAGAGGGAATGTGCACGGTCCGAATGAAATACGAAAAGGAGCCTCGAAGGTTTTCCCGGGGTCGGATAACGTGATAAAAGGAAAATATACTACGTGCTCGTGTCGTGTCTTATTCTCGTTTCGATGTTGTATTTGTTGAAAAAGAGTGAAAGAGAGAGGAAGATTATGTCTCCATTACGTTTCGAGTATTAATTATTTTAATTTCTAAATTATTGTAATTTATTGGACGTCATTGGAACATGGGAAATACGTTGAATGTGAATTATATCATGTGGAGATCGAAAATATACGATTATTTGATTTGGTTTGGAAATTTAATTGGTCATGATTTGAGAATCTATTAAAAATATCGAAAGTGGATGCTTTCGTACATTTTAAATCTACTTAAACGATTAAAATTTATTTTATCTTTAACGAAATTTCATAAGAATTTTGAAAGGGTATCGATTAATTATCTATTTGAAAAAAAAAGAACAAGAAAAAGAAGAAATAAGATTTAAGGTTTAATTAAGTAATCGATTAATTTTTTTAAGTATAGTTAATTTTACAATGATCTGAGGATAAAGTAAAATTTTAAATGTATTAATGGAGAAATCTACGTTAAAAATTTTCAAGATAATATACTTACGTAATTTAAATACACTTTAATTACGTAATATATTATGTAACGATTAAGGTTGAAAGTAGAATCCACTTTTAGAGAATTAGAAGTTACGAAATATATTTTAATCTGTATAAAAATGAAATATCTGATCATTTTCAAGAATTAAATTTTACAAACGACAGAAAAGAATTATATTACGAGAAATATTATAGCTACCGATATTATAACACAGAAAAACGATTCCATTTCAAAAGCTAATTTTTCTCGGTATTACGTTACAACTAAAAAAGCGTACGATTCACTTCCTAAAGAATTGTAAAATATATTTGAATTTTCCATACCTATGAAATATGCAATCTTTCTTATAAATCAAAATTAAAAATGATAAAAGCATAATACAAATATGAATATCGGTATTACGAAATACTGGTTGTCAAAAGTTAATATTGTTTTACAAAAAAATATTTGATGAATTATTCCCTTGAAAATCACGGAATATTTGATAATAAATTTTTATACGCGCAAAATATGTTATTTCTTTTATGGAACAATATTAAGAACGATAAAATTGTAACGTATTAATATATATGATATGACACGATAACAAAAAATATATAATTTCTCTTATTAGTATCTTTCTCAAACTACTCTTTATATTTTAAAAAATATAATCGATATGGATTGTGGTTATTCCACAACCATAACTACAACTCCTTTCCTGCAAAAAGAATCATCAAAAACATTCTTAAACGTACATCATTATCTAAAAGATTAAAACTAATAACATAATTACTCAAAAAATTTCTCTATTCTCTCCATTTTTCGAAAAAATTAATAAATAAACATCCCATATCCATCATTCCAAAAAAAAAAAGAAAGAAAGAAAAAATCAAGCCACACCACAAAAGTGTGTTTCTCGTTTATCTCGGCGGATATCGAGGCATCGATCGATAAACAGGAAGCGCCCTAGCTCGGCACGTGAGATCCGTGCAACGAACAGGCCAACGATGGAACGCCCTATATCGAGATACAGGTTCGACGAAACATCAAAAACCGCGATGCGATTTATCGCCGTCGAGGTGGATCCGCGCCAACGTCGTCGAGGATCGTTCTTCATAATTCCGCGATAAATCTCCACCCCCTGACGATTTATTTTGCAAAGCAGGACTGCCCGACCTTTTATCCAAACGGCGATCAGGAATCTGCGGACCCCACAGACCGAAATATGTTCACCGGCGATCGTAAATTCCCGGGTAAAAGTCTCGTGCGCGCAGGCGGCGGTGGCGGCGAATTAACCCCATGAATATTAATTACAATTTACATGATATTAACCGACATTATCGGGACAGCTGGCCAAAGTTCGTGGACGTCCATTGGCTTCAACGCGGGCTTCAAACTATGCTAAACGCGGTTTAAAGAGGGTTGAATCCGGCGTGCGCGGGGTGGCCTTGCGAACAGGTGGCCCTGATTTACGACCCCTTGTCCACGTTAAATGGGACCGATCGAGGATCGCGCTAATGGTTTTGGGTCGTTTAGGGATGGAGAACGATTTTATTCGAATGGAGTTTTGGAGAATGATGGAGAAAAGCCTTGTTTGGGAAGGGGATGATTGGAGAATGTTTGTTGGTTGAGGAAATTAGGAATGCAAGACTATTGTTGTTGGATTGGATGATATTTGAAAAATTGAAAATTTGAGAATTTGAATTCAAAGATTTAAAAAATTGCGGTGAATAAATATATAGATGTTTGGAAGTTTATAAATTTAGGAAATCAAATTTTTGTAATGATTAATTTTGGTAAGGGAAACTTTTAAATTTGAAAATTAGGAAGTTAAGCAATTTTGTGTTTAATATAAGATATAAAGGAAACAATTTTCGAAAGTACGCTTGGTATAATAATTTCTTACAAAATAATCTTCTTCTTAAATAATCATCCAAAAAGTAAAAACTTCTTTACAGTTACTTTTCCATGAAATGTATTCAACTTCGACCTTTATTAATGAGTAAATTTATCTCAAAAGATCTCGTTTTCACGGTCCTGTGATTCGTGAATATTCAATCATCTGATTTCCGACATATTCATTAAATGGAAGAAGAGAAAGTTTATCTATAACAGATCTCGTTTAATTGATTTCACGATTCAAAGATGATTTCCCGCCTCGTCATTGTGTTTAATCATTCCTCCTCAAGGGATTCTCTCAATTATGTAACTTCTTCGTAAATAAAATGAAAGTATAAACGAAATATACTGCGATAAAATGTGTAAAATCGAACAATTTTTCATCCCTATTTGCCAAACCTAAATTCGAACATTCTATTTAATAAAGAAAATACTTGGAAAAATATTTTTATCGAGTACGAAGTAATAAATTTTTAGTTAAAAAATATAATTCCTTGTTTGTTCTTGATTTCGACAATGATTTCAATTTAAAATTCAAATGTTAAAAATTTAATAAATTTTGACGTTACGATAAAAAAATTCGATGACGTAATTACGCGAATAATTAGAGAATCGATACGATAAATCAAAGAATTATCGTGACAGAGAATAAAACTCCGTTTCAAAATTTCCATTACAAACGTCGTACGCACAACTGTCAACAACAATTCTACGAAATTCTGTTTTCTCGGAAAAGAATCGCAGAAATTCGTCGCCACACCAAAATGAAAAACAAATACAAAGCGAAACGACGTATCTTAGTTAATTACGTGACATCTATACGATCTCGTTTCACGGTCGCGTCTGTTTTGAAATTCAGTACACGTTTCGACGCGGTGTAGAACAGACGTGAGTTCGTCTGGAAAATTGCGAATTTCCGTAACGGTCGTTCCATCTTCTTGTCCCGCTCGACTTCCTCTATTTTTTTTCCCCTGTCTTTTTTTTCTTTCCTTTTTTAATTTTCAATTACATTGT